TCAGGGTAGGTCTATGAGGATATCCTAGAGGCTCTGGCAATGGGTGGGACACTTGCAGCTGTGCTGGTCTGATCCAAGGCGCAACCTCTTTTCCCAAGTTCTGCAAATACAGCCCGGGCCGTTGCTGCTGGTCCCTGTAAAAAGGTTTTTGGGCTGCAAACAATCTGTTTCAAGACTCAAATTGAGACAATTATTGAGATAATTACTCATAATTATATAATGAATTAATGACATCCGATAATAGAATTATTTACAGTACCATAAAAATGAGAACTGCCTATTCATAGGATGGATTTTCCCCTTGTGAAACCAAAAGTTTGCCTTTGAAGACTCCATCATCTCTGGATCAAGACTATGTGTTGTGCCTAACTAATGTATGTAAGCAGCTTTCTTCCAGAGTAGGTTAGGATGGGGGTTTTACATTATAATGATTTTCCTGATGAAAAAAAAAAGAAGTGCCTTTTCACAGAAATAAAGTTTTTTTTTCGGCCAAACCTGAAATTTTACCCTAAAAAAAAAATAAATCCGTTTTCTGCCAGGAAAACTGAACAGATAAAGTCTCACTACCTGTCTGGAAGGCTTCTTAATGTATGTAAGCAGCTTTCTTCCAGAGTAGGTTAGGATGGGGGTTTTACATTATAATGATTTTCCTGATAAAAAAAAAAAAAAAAGTGCCTTTTCACAGAAATAAAGGTTTTTTTTCAGCCAAAACTGAAATTTTACCCTAAAAAAAAAAATAAATCCATTTTCTGCCAGGAAAACTGAACAGATAGAGTCCCACTACCTGTCTGTAAGGCTTCTGTCAGCCTCACTTTGCAAGTAGGAATAAGCTTGACAAAGGGCACAGCTAGGAAAATGTCCCTGCTTCGAGTAAACACAAGTGGAACATGTTCATAGTTTCTTTCCTCCCATTTGTTTGAGATCTTTATTTCTTTCCATTCAGCAGAAGGTCCATTTTCCAGTCAGCTCTGTCCTTGAGCCCTTGCTCCAGTCCTGGCGGTGAGCTTCTCTGTGACATGGGTCATGCTGCTTTGCTTTGCTCTGAGAGAGCTGAACAGCTGTGGCCTCTAGAGCATCGTAACCAGTGTCAGCAAAATATTTCCAGGCTGAAGAGTCAGAAAAGCTAAAATGTAATACTAGTGTCCGTGGTGTCTCTTCTGGGAGAGCTACCCAAGGCAAGCCCTTCCTGCAGCTTAGGCTAGTCCTGCTGTCCCAGCGCCACTCCAGTGTACAGCAGATGGTTTTCAGCTGCCACTTTGCTTCAGGGCAGTCCCACTGCTTGATTCATCCCTTAGAGAGCTAGTACCTCCCCTTTTTACTTTTGCATCAGCCTATACGCTTACTCCTAGGCAGCCTGATCAGGAGTTTCACATAACAGTTATTGAGCCCATGTCTAATAATTCATCTGAATGTACCGCATCCCTGCCCGGGTGCTGGGGTGCAGGCTGATGAAATGGAGCACTCCAGGTGCTGCTGGGCAATTGCTTCAGTTAAAGAGAGGGGGCTAAAGATCTGAACACTTGTTGCAGCTGTTTGCATGTTTTGCCTGTTGGATTGTTTGCCAAAATCATTACAAAGTGCTTGGATTTTCTGATGGAAGCTAAAAGGTCTGAACAAATAAATACATTACAAAACAAATCTCTACACAGAGAGGGAGCAACCGCATTCCTCCAATGAGTATCTGGGAGGGAGCCCAATCCCCAGTTCCTACAGTAAGTATGGTACCAGAGTGGCTAATAAACTGCCCCAAAATTCAATTGTCTTGCACAGACCAAGGAAGTACCTCGCCTCCTACAGCTTGGGAAAGAACCTTCCCTCAATTTGCAGCAGTTTAGGATAGCACAGCTGAGAAAGCAGGCCCTTAAAGAAGAAACACTATCTCAGAGATCAGAAGAGAAACTGTGGCTCATGAGATCTGTGTTCAGCTTCAGTTTCACTTGCCCAAATTTGTGTGAGAGCAAGATGTGGTTTGAGAAGTTCAAAATGCCCTGTGAAAACACACAGCTGTTCCCTTCATTTAGAAATGAAAGACAGCTTGAAAAACCCTGCTGTAATTCTAGCAGTCGCGGTTCTGCCTCTCTCAATGAGTTACAGCTGGCCAGGCACTTGAATTTCCTGTGAAACTTTGCTCTGAACCCAGACCCACGGGGCAGCGCAGCACGAAGGGATTGCCATAGCAACCATTCTTTGTGTCTCAATAAACCAAGGGACTGTTTTCAGGGAAAATTACATAGTAATGTGACATTTGCTGTCTTAGATTAAAAAAACACCCCTTGATGAATCAAAGTTGCAGAAGACTCATGAAGGTTGTGGTTTTTGTTTGGATTTGAAAGTTTCTGGGTATGATTTAGTACATGGTTCTTTAGAATGGTTTTTCATTTGTAATCATTAAAGCTAACAGCTGATCATTGAATATGTATCTTAACATAGTTTTTACTTCTATTCAGAGCACAGATTCATGTTCTCCACATTGATTCATTCTTCACCATGTGTATTTTTCTGGTATAAGATTTCCATGGCTTGAAGCCACAGAAACATGAGTAGTGTATACCACAAAGCTGTTGAACGAAGTAGTACTATTAAAAAAAAATCTAATAGGATCTTACTTGGTTTCATTTTGCTGAACTTAAGCCATAAAAGAATGTGTAAAGCTCTCAGCCTGGCTTGGAGGAAGGCCATAACTGTAACGCTGTTTATGGGACAGCTCATCTGTCTGTCAGGCAGTCCTTCAAGCTTTACATTTGGAAAGAATATGGATGGATGTTCAACTTCTTAACATCTAATATTTATGACAATTTCATATCTATTCTCAAACACATCTGATCAAGGCTTTGCAAGAACTACCAGCAATGGGTCTGCAATTAGAAACTTTCAATCTCTTCTGAGTTCATCTAGAGAAATCATACCAAATGGAGTGATAGTTCTCAAGTTCCAATACACTTCTCATGCTCTGAGCCTTTCATTGTATTAGAGGACTGACAACCGAAAAGATTCACGGTCACCAGCCATAAAATAGGCCACGGAATATTACTATAGAATTATTCCTGCAACTTGCCCCTAACTTTTGGCTGAACTACATCCAATTTATTTTTTGTTAAAAAAAAAGACATTCAAACTGCACTGTCTGCTTGAGGATTTGAAACCATTTGAGTAGATTTCTTGGCCCCAAATATCTTAACAACAAAATTTCTGAAGGTTCTGCAAGACCAACTTCTTGAACAGAAAAGCTGAGGTTTTAAATACTTATTCCCATATGTGAGTCTGCTCGAAGAAGTGCAAAAATTAGTAGCTAGCATGGTTAATCATTATTTACTATAATATCATACTATGGGTGCTGAGTGTAGAAGAGTTCTTAGTGGAATCAGAGATATTTGGAAAAGAGATTTCAGTGGAGAGCAAAGATAAATAAACCTTGGCTGTTTTCCTACAGATCACAGATTTAATTCTTTGCATGGAGAGAACTTTACGGTGGTGGCTTCAGAACAGAGAAAAGTTTTTGTTGAAATTCTGAAAGGATACCTGCCAAAAATTCACAGTGAGAATGTTCAGACATGGTTTCTATGCCAGTAATATGCTGGGTTGTGTTAGGAAGATGTGCTCTGTGAAACAGAAGATCAGATGATCTGTGGCAATGTGATTAAAAAAAGTGTTTTTCTAAACTTCAAGAATCAGTAACAAAAGTAGAAATAATAAGGCAACTCCTAACTTGACAACAGCTGGCAATCTGATATCGTAAGCTAAAGGCGATTTAGCTAAAATGTCTCATTTTTACCAGCTTTGCAAAAATTATACTCCTGTTGTGGGTTCAGCTGAGACAGAGCTGGAATGCTAACTAGTTACGCGACCCCTGAGCAGTCGGCGTCCAACTTCTTAGAGGGACAAGTGGTGTTCAGCCAGTCAAGATTGAGTTATACCACCTCCTCACCCCTGAGAAATGACCCAGAGCCTTGGGATATTTGGTGAGGAACATAGATGCATATTCCATGTGATTTACTGGATTTTTAAAAAGTCACAAATTTGTTTGTGGTGTTTGGAGACAACTAATGTAAAGAGGCTTAAAAGATCCAAGCATCCACTATCACCGCATCAAAACATGTATTAAGTGTTTTCACTTAAATATGAGTATATGACTAACTCCATATGTCAAGATTTAAATACAGGACTATTTCCTTACCATTTTATTTGTTCTTTTGTTTTTGGGGGTTTTGGGTTTTTTTTTAGAGTGGTGATGTTTTAAGAGTGGGATGGAGGATTTTTCATTAGTGTTTGGGGAACAGAAAGATTTTCAAGCTGGCTACATCTGCCAACACACTGACTGTTAAAATACTATCACATAGAATAAGAGTAGTAGATCAAACATAAAGTGTTTCTAAGTACAAAAGTACAGAAAGAATTGCTCAGTCCACTTCTCCTCCAAAGCGGGACACTAGCATAAGATCATGAAACTAAAAAAACATGTGAAGTTTGCCTTGTGGTTTTTGAGGATTTACTTTGCTTTTGGTTTTCAGTTTGTCTTCCCTACTCTGGGAGGCCCTGGTGATTCTGACTGCTTGGTTTTCTCCATCGCAAGCTCACTCCGTCCTGAAATCACCTGAGTGCGGTCAATTAAGAAGTAAACTGAGTTGTCACTGGGAGGTTTGGAGGCACTGAGCATGTTAGATGCATGGTCAAATCAGACCCGTGACATCCCCTTTTTCTTTCTATTTCAGTTCATTGTCATTTTCCCTTTATCTTCGTCCCCAGCAACGCCCAATACACACCAAAACAGAAACAGCAAAACCTTCCTACTGTACACAGTGTGCAGCCAGGTTTAAAGACATTTTGCAGTTATATTTGCTCATCATTTCAACCAAATCTTTCCACCCTTCCCAGAGCTCATATTGCAGTGCAAAGGTGGCCAGTGTGAGAAGTCTCACTCCTTTTGTTTGACATCCTGTACAAAACATTGAGAATTGTGGAGATGTTTTTTACTCACTGGGATATTTTTTGTTTCATTTCAGCTCTATGATGGGCCTGATGTACAATCCAACCTGATAGGCACTTTCTGTGGACAGTCTCTTCCACTGGCAGGGAGCACTACAGGGACCAGCCTTCATGTGGTGTTTTATTCTGATGGACTGAATGCTAGAAGTGGGTTCCAGATGCTGTGGCATGTTAATGGTAAGTTAGCCAGATTTCCTCTAGGAAGGTATGCTTCCTTCTTCCCTGTATGTGTAATGGAGTCCCAGCTTATGCCACCCTATGTCAGCTAAGTAGAAATAACCCATTACAGCTCTAAAAACATTGCATTTCCTCATAATTCCTCAAATACTTTCCTAGTGGATGCGTCTGCACATGCACACCTTCACAGATCATCTAGACTGAGAGCTGTTAGTGAAATATGTTCGCGTTTGCAGGAGGCGGCACAGCGATGAGGGACATTGCAGAATTTCTGTACTGAACAGGAGGTATATGCTCTTACAGGGGAACTGTGGGTGACTTGGGCTTTCTAATGGGAAACACTCAGCCCTCAGTTTGCCCCATTCCTATAGACTTGTGTTTTCTGTGGAGGCTTCTCGCTAGTTTTATTTAGTGGCACTTGTTTTCTTGGGTAGTGTGTTCACTTCCAGCTGCCCCCTACCTCCCTCCTCTGCATGAAATAACATTGGTCAGGATGTCCTTTGGGTGCTTTTTCTCTTGCTCTTACATGTCACAAAGACTGTCACAGGCCTTATTAAACAGGCAGGCATGCATGCCAGTTATAAACAAATCTGTTAATAACTGTACAACTGCAAACTATGTTTGCGGCTTCTTCATAAGTGAGTCTACAAATGCAGCTTTTTCACTCTGCTTATTTAACAGTAATATTGGACTGTAACAATTGTGTGCCATTGTGCATCCCATCAAAGAGGATCCAACCTTGAAAATAATTAAATCGCCACAGTTGCCCTGTTTGTCTACTCAGTTCACACCATTCAGCTTTGACAGCATTGTAAAGCAGCTGAAATCGGCTGCGGAGGCCCTACTGTGGGTTGCTGAGGTATACGGCACGCTATACATTGTTTGAATAGGAGCTCCTCTGTGCTACCACAGACTGATGGCATTTGCGGGCTCCCAAAGGGCTCTTGTCAACTAGACAGTGGTGTTTTGCATTCAGCAGAGGTCAAGGAGCATTTCTGGGCAAAGGAGGGACATATGTGGGAGGAGTGAGATGAGTGGCAGGAGCCAGCAGGGGAAGTGCTGCAGCACAAAGGTACGTTCTTGTGCTTCGAGGTGATGTCATTCTGGGACTGCACAAAAGAAGAAAAAGTGGAGGCTTTTATGCACAGCCAGATGACATCAGCTCTGTACAGTAGCCATGGTGCTAGGTTAACTTGCTTTTCTAAAGCTCTCAAAGCTTTCCAGAATCTGCCTGGATGGTAAGCACTCTTGCGCTTTCCCAGCACTCTTGCGCTTTCCCTCCATGTCTCCCCTCTGAACATTTCCTGGACTCTCCAGCCCTCTCCCACCCCCCTGCACTCCTTTTCTGCACTGACACATTCACTTCTCTGTCAGAGCACTGCCCCTCTGTTAATTCCTGGACTGCAGGAATTAACTAAACTGCAGCCTAACCCTGCCCAGGGCCCAGACTGCTGATGTGGGGCTGTGTCGAAGCAGCAGAGCAGGATCTGTGGGTTCAGACAAGGCTGGCTCCTAGGGAATGTCATTGCTGACTCCAAACATCGCAGCTGCTACTCCTGGCAGCCTGCAATATGAGTGCAAGTTCCTCCAGAGCTGACTACAGTTGTCATCTTTTTGTTCATTGCAGGTGCTTCTTTTATTTTTTTCACAGTTGGTGTCATGCACAAATATGAATATTCCTCTTACCTTTGGTGGCTACATTGTCTGGCCATAAAAAAAACAAACAAACAAACAAACAAACAAAAAACAACAAAAAAAACCCCCACAAAAAACAACAAACAGATATGGTTCTGTGATTAGGGTGCTATATTTGCTTCTCCTTTCTGAAAATCTTTCAAATGCACAAAAAAAGCTCATTGGAGAAAGTCTCCTTGTCTAGGGGAACTCATCAGGAAATGCAGCCTTTGAGCTGGGTATTTCAGAGCGAAGCATTCAGGTCCCCTCTTCCCTGAGGGCAAATCCCTAAGAGAATCTAAACCTGGATCTGGTAACATCTCACCTGACAAGAAAAGAACAAGGCTCTATATATATTGCTGAGAGAAGAGCTTTTATTTCTGCTCAAGTGACAAATGTGTGTTCTAGAGTTCAAGCTGCTGTGAACTATTTCTCAGGCTGCCATGTGCTCCTTAACTGGCAGCTGTGAAGCATCTATGAGATATATATCAGGGACACTCACATGCTTTGGTGATAAAAGAGAGGAGCACTTATATTTGCCTCCATGTGCCTGATAACAGTTCGTTTCAGACTCTCTTTCTGGCAGCTTTGCTCACAGTTATGAGGTGATCACCAGAAGCCAAAAGCTTACCTTGTTGATAACTGATGTGAGGAGCCCCTGCTGCCACAGATGACACAAATTAAAGTTTTTTGATTTGAAACATTTGCATCTGATCTTTACAATTGCTGAGCCACTGCTTTACAGTTGCTGAGATGCTGATCTGGGTTGCTGAAGGTAGCCCAGTCTTTAGGCTTTCCCAAAGACAGATTTAGTAACTGATGTTAGGAGAATGCTGTTATTTATGCTTAAAAGTGTCCTATATAATTTTAACTTGGGTGGAAAGCTATAATGCAAATAATTCAATTTAAAAGTGGTTGTGGGTCTGAAATAACACTGTTCATCTAAGGGGCTTTCATTGATGAGGCTGGATTTAGAATTGATTTGGCTAAATCACTAATGTTTTCTTCTGCAGTCAAGGCCTCAAGAGGATTATTCACCAGAGGAAAGCTTCAATCTGCAAGGTGCTCATTCCACTTCTGTTGTTTATTAGGAAGCTTAACAGAGGCAAATATATTTTGGGGCATATATTGGCCCTTTGAGAAAGAACAAGCTCTTGGTAAAAGTCTGGATATTGCAAAGATGGCATGCCAATTGCTTTGCTTTCCTTGAAAAAAAAAAAAAATCAGGAAGCCAAAAGGGCAAAGTTCTCTCAGTGCAAAATTACACCAGTGACAACTGTCACTATCTGAGAAGACACATATTTCCTAGGCCTGTCACTTACCTTATCAAGCAATGTGCACGTAGGAGCTGACTGCTTTATATATACATCTGAGTTTCATTGGAAGCTTACTCATTTGGCTGCTTGATTGTCAGTAGAGCTTAAAAATTTAATTTCCTCTTCTCAGAATAGTCAAACTTTGCACCCACTATTCTGTTTTCTGTGATACATTAATTCCACCTTTAAAAAAGAAGCAAAATACACAACTGAGAAACGAATTATGTAGCCTCAAAGCATTGTCTTGCTCTTTTCTTTCACCATCATCTTATTTCTGTTAGATTTTCCTAAGAAATGATTGATGGACAGGGTGTGGAGAAGGCCACTTGGTTCATGAGAAGATAAGTTTTCATTAGTCTCAGTCTGTATTTTCAGAAGATGAAAATGATTAAAAGGCATACAATAACTGAAGACCAGGGTTTTCAGTATATGTGTCAGGTAAAGTGTGAAATAGTTTGTTAGTTCTTCAGGGAAGCATAACAGAAACACAGATCAGATTAGGATGCAGAAGCCATCCACAGCAGACATTTGTCAGGCGTCTGTTAGGATTGCTGGAGAGAATATTGCATTGCAGGTCAATGAGGGAGCTGAAGCTGAGATTTCTTAAACCTGAATCATAGCTCTGTTGCTGATTTCTTGTGCAGTCTTTGACAGATTGCCATTTGTTCTGTTTTCAAAAATGACTATTCCTTTTCAGTGTCTTTCTGTCACATTAAGTCTAAGGATGCACAGGGTCTGATCTTTCGAAGTCCTGAGCAGTTTTTTTGAGTTGTGAGTGCTACCATATTCAGAGCTGGCTTTTTATATTGCTGTCTAGACATGTTCTCTATGAGAGCTAAGGATTAACTGATTTCTTTTTCTTCAGCAAGCTGGACCTCCCTCCACCCCCCAAACTAATATATAGGAATAAGGGACAAAATTTTCTTATGTTGCTGAACAGTTCAATCAATGTCCGAGAACTAGAAAATGGCTTTTTTTCTTTTTTAACACTGAACACTGGCAACTGCTGTGGCCAGTCTGTATCTTGGAGGATTCAACTCCCATGTAAATGCCTGCATTTGCCTTTATGTCTCTGGGTCCCAGTAGTCTATCTTTACTTAGTATCCTTCTTACTGACTTCAGATTGGAACACATTGAAGAAAATACAAGAATTCAAACAATACAAATACAAACAATAATAATCAAAACTACAGAAGTGTTTAACAAATCAGAAAGAATTAAAAAAAAAAAAAAGTTTCTCCCATGAATTTTTACTCCCTTGCATAAAACCTCAGAACAGAAGTTATCCCACTTACTCCATTGGGTAATATTCTATGAAATAAACCTACTCAAGAGAGCAAAAGATTTCAGAATCAAATCCAAGTTATACTTCATGCAACTATTAGTGTAGTACAGGCAAATGTTCATACTATATGCTCCTTGCAGCTACAGTCAGTTAACGTTTACTGAAGTATCTCACCGTGAGCGCAACAAATGGAGCAACTCTGAATCCTCTAGTTTCCCTAACTCTGATTTTTCAGGAACAGTGCCAGTTAACTTTAAACTTTATGGACGGAATTTCTCTAGCATGGACTAAAACACACCCATGAAATAAATCTGAAAACCTTGCAAATAATAGAGATTTCCACACACTGCTACTTCTCTATTCAGCTACAATTATTTATGAGAATAGGGATTCTTCTTTGGTTAATGAACACCATCTGCTAACCAGACAGGCAGTAATATGGAAAGATCTATAAATAATCCCTTGCACAATCTTCAATGACTACACAGATTTTAGCCAGAGGAAAGCAAAGACACTAAATATATGTTTCCTGAACTTTCTATTTGTTGTCTAATTTCCTAGCAACTAACGCCAGGTTAGGTAGTTGTTTTAAGCATTTTTCAAGGAAATTCCAGGACCTTTGCTCTACTAAGAGTATCATCTCCCCTCCCATTTTTCCCCTCCAGTTTAGCTGCAGTTCTGAAGTTTCCCAAATGGCTGTGAGGAAGTTTGCACAAACTGCCATATGCAGTTCAGTTGCAAGAAACTTTTCCACAGTGCAGATTTCTGTGTATTTGTCCACATACAGCAAGACCATGTACTTCTGTGCTGAGAAAAAATTTTAAAGATATTTCACTAGGAGCAAAATGATTTCAGATTATTCACTATTATTTCAGTGAGAGCTGAAGTCATTCAGCACTTTATAGGTTCCACTTCTGCATTTTTATTTACCCCTAAAGATCAAATATTTTTTACTTTGTTGCCATAAACAGCACAAATTCCATTTATTTTAATAGAAGCAAAATCTTACCTGATGTTTGCAGACAAATGTAAACATTGGGAGAAGTTATGTGTTCATTTAATAGAATCATAAAATCATAGAATGGCCTGGGTTGAAAAGTATCTTAAAGATCATCTAGTTCCACCCCCCCTGCTGTGGGCAGGGCCGCCAACCACTAGAGCAGCCTGCCCAGGGCCCCATCCAGCCTGGGCTTGAATGCCTCCAGGGATGGGCATCCACAGCTTCTCTGGGCAACCTGTTCCAGTGCCTCACCACCCTCTGAGTGAAAAATTTCCTCCTAATATCTAACCTAAATCTCCCCTCTCTTAGTTTAAAACATTCCCCCTCATCCTGTCACTATCAACTTAATGGTGATGCCAGAGATGGAATAAGTTTAATTAGCTGAGATGATTACATCATTATTTAAAATTTTCCTTTTTCAATATCTTAATAAAGTAGGCAGGCTACTTTTGTATGGAAATTACATTCGAAGTTGAATCAAAATGTATTTCTTAGCTTGCTCAAAAAATAAGAAAAGGATACAGTACATACAAATGCATGCTTCAAAAAAACAGGACTGGCATTTCTCCTGAAGTTTTCCTTTTAAATTTCAAATGCACACATATATTCACACATATTCATATATGTATGTAAATAAATATGCATCTGCATCTACAGCTACATCTTCAGCCTTAACACCATTCATATGAATGTAATTTGTTTGATATCTTTTCTGATTAAGTATCTGCCAAGGCAGATTTCAAAGCCTATTATAAGCATCTTAAGGCAAGGAATCTATCTTCATAGGTAATGCACAAATAATAGGAAAAATACTTGCAGTTTAGTTTCCATGATGGCTTGTATCTGTATTCCAATCAAAGAAAAGGATAATGCTACAAGAATGTTGTGGCTAACGAAAATGGGAAAGACACTGACTAAATCAGGGATCAAATTCTAAATTCACCTTTTTAAAACATTCAAGACAGAAAGTCTGTCAATAGTAAGGACCCATAATGTTCCAGGAACTGAAATACAAGCTGCAGAGTTGGTGAATCAAAGTTTGCTTCTCATTTTGAAACATTATTCCTGGACAAATCTATTTTATTTTTTTTTTAATTCTAAGGCTGGCAGATCTTTCACATACAACGTTTGTCAGCATTTCAAAAATTTCTTCTATCATTATATGAATGTGTCTTTTTTTAGTGTTTCATAGATGTAGCAAGTGAGTTTAAAGGCAGGAACATTTGTTTTAATCTTTTGAGTCTTTCTGTAAATATTTTGTTAAAATCATCTTGCATCTGTATTTTCAAAAAAGCAAAACAGAACTGATTCTTACCTCATCCATATAGGAGCAGAAACGTAATATATAGACTTTCTGCCAGCTGGACAGAGAGTTATGTTTCTGCTCTGATATAGAGGTTCTGCTTGCACATGCAGGTCAGTCAGAACAGCTATAGAGTGTGAAGTTCATGTTCAAAGATCAGTGAGTCCTTTTTTCAGCTATTAGTCAGTGAATACTTAGGTATATACTCAAGCAAAATCTGATCAGTTTGCAAAGAATTAATAAATGGCAACATGAGTTCAGCACACTCATTATAAGAAATGAATCACAGAGATCTAAACTTTACCCCCGTTTTACTGGTGCACTTAAGAAGAATCAGTTCTCTTTTAACAAAGAGCCTTTTCTGGAAACATTTGTAGTTGGAAGGAAAGAAATGACACATTAACAACAGTTTGGCATTCTGTTCATGTGCTTTACATACCTCATCCAGAGAATACCGACTGAACTCAGAGAAAATACAAACAACTCTGGAGAGGGAGGGAGAGTAATCTCAATGCTACCTGCAAGGGCTTCATAGAAAGAAAGGTCTGTGCCTCAAAGCACAGCACGCAAGCTTTCCACTCATCTGAGCCATTTCGGGTTTAAATAAAAAACTTGTCTTTGTGGCTATCAGGAAACTCTCAGTAGGAGAAGCTGAGTCATAACTGCCTGTTTAGTTTTAAAATGTTCCCAGCTTTCTTCAGGCTGAGATAAATAGCAATTTGCTTTGTTCTTGCCTGCTGAAACTCCCCTGCCGCCCTGTTCCCACCCCCTCAGGAGCCGAGCCATCAAGTCTGTTTGTTGAGAAATCTTTCTGTTTCCCAAGCTGGCGGCAGCTTTCCCCTCCTGAAGGCTGTCCTCAGCGGCAGTGTCATTCCCGCTGC